TGTTTATTCATTAGTTGGAAATACAATAAATGAAAAAAATTGTATGTGTACGAATATTTGTTTCCCCACGGTATGTTTGTGTGTGTGTATGTGAGTGTGTGTGTTGTGTGCGCGCATGTTTGTGTGTGTTTGAAGGAATTTCATGATAGTTAGCCATAACAGTGACTGGTCTTATCCAGTAGTACAAGCGTTGAAGATTTCTTGACTTCTCTTAGATAATGAGGTTTTGTCATTTGATTAGATTTTGGGTCGGTCAAGAAAGTTTTAGCACCCACCGCTCACTGTCGTAAAATAACTTGGCATGGTACTGATGTATTTTTCTCCTGATGCGCCAGTAAAGCAATGTCGTAATTTTCCTCTGTCCACCGGAAAGAAACATCAATTTAGATGTGATTGAGAATATAATCAGATGTTTTGAAATGTGTCAGCCATTTTGTTTCTTCTATACACTACGAAAGACATGGATTTTTTCTTTCGTTTTTGCCATAAAAAAGTAACGCTTCATAAACAATCATGTGAATATCACATCAGGTTTCAACTCACATTGAAGGAAAACTCAAGTATTGTCATTAATCATTTTAAATGATTTATTATCTCGAAAATGAGTGACTTTATCTACGATTGCATAACACAACCGAGTACAATATTAACCAGGGCCATATACTCTCATCTATCTATCTATCTATCTATCTATCTATCTATCTATCTATCTATCTATCTATCTAAAACAGATTCTTTCTTCCTTTCTCAGTCTGGTCATGTCTATTTCAATATTTTCATATGCCTTTATCTCAATTTCTCTATCTATCTATCTATCTATCTATCTATCTATCTAAACACATTCTTTCTTTCTCGGTCTGTTCATATCTGTCTCGGACTTATTCCGTTCTTTCCAGTTTTTTTTTCGCTCTACATGTTGTAAACAACCTTTTTTCATCGCATGTGATGGTTCTATTATTAATTTTACTTTTGTGGTATTTGAGCAGAGAAACTTAGAATTGAAGTGCAGCCCTTTAAATATTTTCTGTTAAACCGCAAGGAAAAATTTTTTTTTGGGATACCTGTATACAATTATTTTAAAATGCCTTTCAAAGCTCACATGGGAAAAGTAAAATATCTCTGCGATGTCTCGCGTTTTGTGACTTGGATTATTTTAATCAGCATTTCGATTAGGTCACCATCAACGACTAAATACCTGCCGAACAGTTTTACGTCTTACAGACCAAAATTTCAACTTCTGAAATTAGCGAACAACATACGAACTGTACTCTCAGCTATGGTACCATCTGTATAAACGGCACATATCTGTTTTGCTGTTTGTACTGCGTTTCCTTTCGGTTTCCGGAAATAAAAGTGAATAAAATGATGAAGATGTATGTGATTTTTCTCCTTATTTTTTCTTAACATAAAAGTAATTAAACTTCACAATCCATAATTCTATAAAAAGAGGCATTCAAATATCACATTTTATAATATTACATGAAATATACTCACGTATAAATTTCAAACGCCGCTTTTATTCTAATTACTTTATCTGTACTGTTATCCTCATCTTCATTGCCATATTCACAACGTTTCGACCGTTGTACGCTCTGGCCTTCTTCAGGCAATTGGAATTTCGAACCGAACACTTTCTTTCACTGACCGGGGTAGATTGTTCTAGTTTCACGTGCCATGCCTCTTCCGGATGTCTCAGTTATTTCTCTTTAACTCATATCTCCAAATTTTGGTTAGCCTGGTATTGAACTCACAACGTTTTGGGTGTAGTCACTGGATCTCACCAATGCCTTTATCCACTAGGCCATATGTTCTAACGCATAATTGACTATTTTTTTTATTACTGTTGATATTCATTTGATTAAATTGCCCGCTTTTCTCTGCTTTTTGAAGACTTCTGTATACGTATCCGCATCTAACAACCTGTGTTTGTGTCAACATGTATCCCAATTTGTTATCAGGGGAAATGGAAAATCTATCTAATCTATCATCTATGTCCTTAGGATCCAACAACGATTGTGAATTAATTATATCATAATATGCAAACGATTAAACCAAATCATCCCCAACTGCGCCGATCAAAGATTAAAAACGAAAGGAAAAATAATACTTCTCGTTTTCTCATCACCATATATGCGTGGATAATATAAAGGCGACAATCTTTGTCATCCCAGATTCGAATACAAATAGATTATTTCCAGAAAGAAAGCAAGTTTTATTTAGGATAATCTGACTGGCTATACCATAGAATTGCGATTGCATACAAATTTCATTTACTCTCTAGGCCGAATTTGGCTATGTCAAATAAATATCTGTTAAATATTATAATTTGCGTTGTATTCGTCCATATAGTTGTCGTGATAAATTACGATTCTTCGGTATTTAGATATCAGCTCCATCAACCTGGACTCGGCACGAGTAATACCTACCTTCCGTATCTATTGGCACGGCTAAAACGGACACGGTCCATGACTTAGACGTTAAGTTAGATGCTAACTTTGACAACAGATTAGCAAAAAAAAAAGTAAACCATCAGTAAACCTCATAAGCGTAACTTGATCAATAACAGTGGCCAAAATAAAGACTTGTTGCTGTTCATTATCCTCAATGGTGTCGAATCTTGGGTCATTTACCGTCGCTACATGAGCATTTCAAACTCTTCAGCGTTACATACGCTCATAATAAAAATTCTCTGGAGTGATCCTGCTACGAACACTTAATCGTATAAGCACCTTGAGCATTTTAGAAGAATCTGCAATGTAATCAGTCCTTTTCTGGCATCTCGAGTTCAGTCATTTTCTAAAAATATTTTCATTGTCATTTTTCTAATGAGCTTTCCACTTTGGTACCTTCACGGATTTAAGTGCAGTACTAGATTGGCAGCTATGTCTCATCATATTCTTGTTGAAATTGATGTTATCCTAAGTTCTATGCTAAAAAATCTTTTATCGCTTGTGGAATTCTCTTCTGACTTCTTGCTTTCCTGTCAACTGTGATCATAAAATATTTAAATGCAACGTCAATCGTCATCTGTCTTCTTAACATCTGTTCTTTTATTGCCCTCTCTTCCATAATTATTTCCCCGGTTTATTTCCTCTCAGTAGCTACTTGCATCTAACTGCATTTATCGAGTTCCTTGCGGAGAAATGATTAAAAAAATATGAAGCCAATGCTAGAAAGCACATGCTAGACGAGCTTCACATCGTCAATGGAAAACTATCGAATTCCTTACTCCTCTTGGCGACGTAAGAGAGCGCCGTGAAAGAGGTACCAGAAGAATTTTAAAGTCACTCTCAGTTCTTGCAGAACCATCGACTAACATAGACTAACATCGCTTGCTGAGCGTAACCGCAAAGCCGAATCAGGGGAGAGAATCTGCGTGGTAAAAGTCCGCTCAAGTCAACAGTTCTGTTTCTGAAGCCGACGTGGAAGGCCTTGTATTGTTATCAGAATTCTTGTTCATGAACTCAAGCAATTGTGATTATGATGACATAGCTGTAAGAACGTGATTTTAATTTCTTTAGATACTGTCTATAATTTTCAAAGGAACTATGATTTAAAATGTTGTTTCGGAATATTAAATTCAAACGTTGCGTCATTTTTTGTTACCGCTCATTTTCAGCAGATTCATTGTAAAAACTTCTTCAGGGCTAAATTTCCGTAGTAAAGAGACGTCTTTTTTCTTGTTAAGGGTTTTACCCCGGATGAAGTATGTAAAATGGATTGGTAGAAACGTTGTGATAGCTAATACAGCAGCAGAAACAATGGTTTCTATTATCTGAATACCGCTTGGAAAAACTGCTTCCGATCTTACACTCTTATATTGTATCACGTGAGATTTGTTTTCCCTCAAAGTTTAAGGATTTTGAAGGAAATATAATATACTAGAATATTTTCTAACACACTGGCGCGTGTTGAAATCCTAAAAAATTTTAGTATTGAAGTTATCGCTAACATTTTTGTCAAGATTTACAAATTCTACATTTCCTTTAATTTCGAAAACCAATCAATGAAATTTGAATCAGCTGATTTGCTTGGAAAACTACTTTGGCAACAACCCTACTTTGCTGTTTAATAATTTCTTTAATTTAATTTAATTTTATAGGATTTCAAAGTTGAACAATATTTTTTAAGAAAATTTCATCTTTTCCTTTTTAACAATGAAGAACATTTTTTTAGGATTTCTTACTATTGAGCATGCAGCATAGAACAGGCAATGCGATAATATTTCTTTCTGGAGCTATATTCAAACTTTTTGAAGCGTTTGTCCTTGTGATTTGTTTACAGTTTTCGCCAACGCAAGGCGAACGGTAAACTGGATTCTTATATAAAACTTATAGAAAAAGTATGCAAAAAACATTATTGCATTTTTATGAAATAAATATCCGTTATTTTAATCTTTATTTTTTAAAAAAAGTAGTGACAGTATTCTGTATGTTCTATAATAAAACATTTAACTTAAAAACAAATAATGAAAATTTATTTTACGAATCTACGCAAAACCAACTGTACTTTGTACCCCATTTCCTGTTCGCATGTCTCCCCAAAATTTGGTTTCGATCGGTCAACGTATGGCTATTTCAGAGTGTATGACGGACGGACAGACTAGCGGGAGTCACAGAATTTTATATATAGATACATAGATTATATCGTCTATTATATAAAACAATATTTAACTCAGAAAAGAGTTTTTCATATGAAAGTTTGATGTCTGGAAATGTAATGTTTTGCCAGGCGACGTAGACTAAAATCATCAGTGTTTAACTTAACATCATAATATACAAATTTTAAGTGTAAATAGGGGAGGATAATTATATGACGGTAAAAACGACATTGATTTTGATATAAGCAGATTTTTTCATTCGCTAAAATCTGAGACGACTGTATCCTTGTTATTTCGCAAGATTAAATATTTCTGCACAATTATTCTTCTAATCATTAATTTACACATCTTTTTCCCGTGTGAACTTGTTACTTTCACCCTAAATTAAAGTAATTAAATCTCAATGATTGTTAAGTACGTGAGACTGAATTTTGCTACAGTGCCTCATGAAAAGAATTCGAGTTTTCTCTGAAGTGATTTTAGCGGACAAATACGATCGACGAAAAAGATATGAATTCATCACTGACATGAATTCATCGTCCAACTCTGGGTAAAGATTCGGGCAACTAGATCAAGTCTGTTCTGTAAAATAACCTCGCTTTCTTTCTATGTGACGTGTCATTTCAGGAAACAGGCGATCGTGGCTCTCCACCTCCTTCTATTGCCTGCAGCTCTTAACAAGTCTCTTTCCTCTGCCACCTCCTTCAAACCACATTTTGTTATCCACTTGCTTAAGGCTGCTAGGTATGTCACGAGTTGTTTTCCATTGTCTCTCTTTCCCTCAATTCGACCCGTGAGTATCAGATTCTCCAGGCCCCTCTTCCTCATTATGTGTCTCAGGAACTTCAACTGCCTCTTTCTGATATTAAGTATAAGACTCCTCCTTGTTTGCAAACTCTCTAAGACCTCATCGTTGCTCACACGTTCGGTTCATGATATCCTTAGCATCTATCTGTAGAACGTGTCTCTTCATCTTTGAGGAAAACGTTCAATATTCCGTGTCGTAAAGAAGAACAGATGTCACGTAAAGGCTCAGTATTTTTTTTTTTCGTTACTAAGAAATCCTTCTGTCTCGCAATACTCTGCCCAGCTTTTGGAATGTGTCCTTGGCCATCCCAATACGTCTACGGATCTCAGTCTTTTGTCAAGGAGCTTCTCAGATATTTAAAATTCCGAGTCTGCTTGATTCTAGTGTTCCCAACCTGCAAATCGCATTTCGGGCTCATCCTTTTAGTGATGACCATGCATTCTGTCTTCTTGTAGGTTATGGTTAGTCCCTTCTTCTCGCTCTCCTTCGCTAAATTCTGTAGGAGGTTTTGTAATTTCTTTTCCGTGTCTCCTATCAACACTGTGCCACCTGCGTATCTTATGTTGTTAAGATTGTGGCCGCTAATGCTAAACCCTAGTAGGTTTTCCGATTCTCTCAGAATTGCCTCGCTGTATAGATTGAATAAGTCCGGCGAGAAGACACATCCTTGCCTTACGCCCCTTTCTATTTTTGTGTATTCACTGAACTCTTTCTCTATGCGCATGCATGCTGTTTGCTGCCAGTATAGGTTCTTGATAAATCTGATATCTTTCCCGAATATATGAAAGTCGCTGAGCAGTTCCAGCAGATTCTTGTGGTGTAATTTGTCGAAGGCCTTTGCATACTCTTTAAAACATAGATACTGAGAAGGTTACTCAGATAGAAAACACAAAGAACTACAATTTCGTGCCTCCAAGCCCAACCGACAAAATCAGTAGAGTCAGGTATATGTAACTGGCCACTCGACTTTATGTATGATGTGACACCAAGTCGTTTTAACATGGGGATGTCATGCCCATAGACATGCATATGAACCAAGAACATATGTCATATCCGAAACTGCCCACATATATTTATATACGTTTATATATGTATGAGTCCCGACGGACGACCAAGTATGTATATGTGTCTGCATACATCGATGTTTGCGTTTTTACGATGACATAAGCGACAAAGTTTCCCCCACCACTTCCACAATAACACCAATACACGCAATCTACATAAAACCAATTTTTTAAAAAAATTAATCAGTTTGTCTGACGATCGCTAAAGCGTGAAACCCAGGGTCACAAACTCACATCTATCCAACCAAATATATATATATATATATATATATATATGTATTTGTATGTGTGTGTGTGTGTGTGTAATAAAGACGGGTGAGTTATTTAACTGATGCATACTAAATACATTTTAAAATGTCAATAGGTTTTAGGACTTAATGCAAATAATATTAAGTAGAAAAAATCTTTGAACGTCAGAATGTGTTATAATTTGATGATTTGTTAGTTTACCACGACTTAAGAAGCTATCGCTCAGTGGAGCCAAAAAGTTCCAATTAAGACGTGAATAAACTGGCCCGAGGATATATCAATTATTAAAAAAACAGATAGTCATGTCATCACGAACGATATTTTTTTCTTTACATTGGTCAAATATTGAAAATCTAAATTGGATTTTTTTTTCGCGCACAGATATGATGTATCCCTCCGCGAATAATCGATGCACAACCAACTAACAAGCCTCTAAATTAGAACGATAGGGATTTTTTATTGAATTATAGCAGAATTAAATCCCAAAATACATTCATAATTTATCTGAGTTTCGCACAGACGCGCAAGCACACACATCACATCTCTCTCTCCCTCTCTCCCTATATATATATATATATATATATATATATATATATAAAGTGAACATTGACATCAGAGGCGACATACTGTTTCATGCTAGATGCAATCATCAGGCCAGTTGTTTTTTCTCGTCGATTTATATATATAGGTTAGTGGTGCATTGTGGGTAGTCTATTCAAACGGTTATTTTGGCAGGAGTGGTTTGTTTATTTATTTATTTGGATTAATTTATTTTGCTTGGTTTTTGTTTTTATATATATTTATTTATACTTTTTGGTTTTCGATGTTTTAGTAACGCATTATTTTTTAAGGTTAGTTTTGATAGTTTGTTTTGGTCTCGATAGATAATTAAAGATAATTTTCGTCCAATTCTTGGATTGATTGTTGTCGTCTATTTTGTTATATTGGCGGGAGTTGTTTGTTAATTTTTTTAATTATTTTATTTATTCAGTTATTTCGATTAATTTCTTTTTACTTGTTTTTGCTTATTTATTTTTTATTTTTTATTTATTCTAACGGTTATTTTGGCGGGAGTGGTTTGTTAATTTGTTTATTTATTCGGATTAATTTATTCTACTTGTTTTTTCATATTTATTTATATTTTATATATTTTTATTTATTCCTTTCAGTTTTAGTCGAGAAAAAATCCAATATATGTGGCCTGATGACTGCGTTTAGCATGAAACAGTCTGTCACCTCTGAGTGTTGACTTCAATGTTAACTTTTATATTTACATACGATCTATCCGTGATACTGAGCACTTTATTCCATCAATATAGCACACCTTAAAACTACATTTCTCCACGTGTGTATATATATATATATATATGTGTGTATATATATATATATATAATCGACTCTCCCGTCGCATTCGACGTATGAGGGTCAGGAAGATAAGTCCCCAGGAAACCGACATCCCGACACTGGCACATGAGATTTGTTTATAGTGGTGAAGGCCTTGTGCAGGACCAGCCACACTTTTTGGAGGGACGAATACAGAAACCTGGTGCACCGAATGCATGCCCAAACGACCCTCCGCAGGTTTTGAATTCAGAGTTATCCTTCTCCTAGACCAGTTGCCATCCAAGGTTATAGGACCCAGTCTGTCCTGCTATTTTACCCATAGCTGGAGGGAAATGAAGAGGATACATACCTTTCCCAAGGGTATTAGCACGTAAGTGAATGCAGTGGATTCGACTGGAATTCGAACTCGGCTCTGCGATTCCTCAATCCAAGCCGCTAACCACTGCTCCACCGTGCCTCCTATATATATACAAATAAGTAGAAAGAACAGACAGATTAAGAATCCACAGTTTTTAGCATTTACTTTTTTTAAAGTACTCGATGCAACGTAGAGCAAAATATTTTAATAAGATTTTCATTTAAAATATATTTTACATCGCTACATAAAAAATTATATTCTTTGAAACTTAAAACCGATCTATCACTGAAGAAATGCATAAATAAAAATTAATTATAGTGTCAAAATTAATTATAGTGTCAAAATAATTATAATAAAGTAATTATAGCAATAATAATTATCATTAATTCACTCAAATCTAAACCAATGGGTATCGACCCCACTTTTTTCCTCTAGACACAAAAACACCTTCCATTCTCACTATCGGACAAGCAGTTCACACGATCAGGTCGTTAACACGTGCTTCAACGAAAATTTCATCTCCTTTTCAATTTTTTTGGCCATAATAGTAACATTTGTTTTTAACATTCAACAAAAATTTGAGGTAAGAAAGTTCCGGATTTTTCCGGCTAAATTATATGGACACTCATTACATAGATCTATAAAAACCATAAGAAAAAGCCTGTATACACCTTGCTTATTCTTTATCTTATCGTTCTGTCGGATTCCATTCTATATCTGATCCACATTTTCCATCAAAAAAGAATTTTACTCAGTATTATTGTCTCTCGTGTCTACAACAGCACATAACGACCAGATTATACTCGTATTGTTGTTTCCACAGCTTGCTCTTTCTCATTTTTATGTCTATTATAAATCCTTTACATCACTTTTCACAAATATATGAATTGTAAATTTATAACGAGAATTCTTCTGAACCTTTCGATCCTTCGAATTATCATCCTATTAGTGTTTTAACACTTTTTGGAAATGTACTTGAGGCTCCAATGAACTTAAAATTGGTTAAGCATCTCTCTTCACGCGTTCTTCTTTCAGATAAACAATATGGCTTTCATTTCTCTCAGGCTGTGGCTTTAGATATTTCGACGACCTTTGACAGCGTTTGACATGCTGGACTTATCCAAAAGCTCAAAAGCAAATGTTTCTCTGGTCGGATATTTGAACTTCATTCAATCTTCTTAACAAATCGGGTAATGAATGTTTGGTTGAACGGCAACGCTTCCAAATCTATTCTCTGTCTTTGGACCTACGTTTCATCAACGGTATTTCCGATGGCATCAATTACCAGCTAGGTGTCTACGCAGGAATTGGAATTTGGTTCTCCGATTAACAACCCCGTGACATTATTCATTACACTAACTGCACATCTGAGCTCACAGCGCTCTCAAGCTGTCGAAAAAATTAGGCATTGACTAGGCCCGACGTTGCTTTACTAAAATGTTTCAACGTGATGTGGCTGTAAGCTGCCAAAAGTTGTGTATTTTTGCCATATCTAAATAAGAGGAAAAAAAAAAAACAAAAAAAAAAAAAACAGATGGAGTAAAATTCTACATTTTGTAGCATTTACTTTTTAAAAAAATGCTCAATACAAAGTAGAGAAAAATATTGTTATAATATTTTTATTATAAGAGGTGTAAAACATTCTAAAGCGATACACAAAAAACTTTCATGTTTCAATATTATGATTGCACTTCTTCAGACGATGATTCGGAACTGGTGATCAAAATTTGTTTCTGATAACTTTATAACTGATTAAGCTTCCTCCCCACTTTAACAAATGGAACGTCATATTTGGCTACATTCATGATACATTTGTCGCTGCCATGTTCTCCACAAGCGTTGGATGACATGTCTAAGCACCGGTTTATCGTGCATGAAAAAATAACTCACCCACTTCCACCCACTGACCTTATTTTTCTATTTAGCGTAGATCTGGCATTTAATTGGTTATCGAGACATAACTAAAAGTATATTTTTAATTCTGACCTTATGCCCCCCTCTTTAACTTTCAGAAAAAAAGGTAACGATTTGTTTTTAAATTTCCCTAAAAAATCATATTATCATTTGTTACCAACCATCGCCTGAGGAAGTACAATCATAGTATTGAAACATGAAAGCTTTTGTGTAGCGATGAAAAATGTTTTTATTATAACCTTTTATAATAAAAATGTTATAATACTATTTTTGCCATATCTAGAAAACTTTTGTATCCTGCAGACAATTTCGAACAGACAGACCGTTGCCGAGCTGTATCGACTCTGGTACCGTGGTAAATGTACAGATGAGTTTAATTATTTAGTTTTATCAGATCATTACAGCTAGGTTAAGTCATGCTGCATCCACAGAGTTGAATCAGTGTCATATCTGCTACTTTGTAGAATTGATTCCCGTGTACATGCTTCCCTGGACACGATAATCTCAACCACTTCATTCGGCAGACAATCGTTATCTAGTACTTCTAAAGAAAAGCACAATTCCAAGAAATAATTGTTTTATTTTTCTTCATATTATTACTAGTTAATCGCCCCCCACCAGTTCTCGAATATCAAAAAAAAAAAAAAAACCCCAAAAAAACAACATTTCTAATTTTTAAGAAGGGTATCTGGTTTTAGCTGTAAGTTCGTTGTAAATTGATTCTCCTGCGCACATCAACAGACAATTAAATAAATAAATTCACTTGGCCAGTGGATAAAAGCATTCGTTGAATCCAGTGATTTTATCCAAAGAGTTGTGAGTTCAATACCTAGCTACAGCTGAGGTAAACAAAAACTGGGAGAGTTGAGTTAAAGTGAGATTATCTGGAAGAGGCATAGCACTTGGAACTAGAACAATCAACAGTCTAAACATGGCCAGCACGCTCAAACCCTCAATAACGATATGTGACTTTGTGCTAGCACGACTATCAACCACTCCCAAAGAGTTCCAGTTTTACTCAGAAGTTCTTGGATCAACCTGTATTATGGCTTTCAGGTACTTTCCAAATGTGCCGCACCCCAGACCGATAATATCAAGAAGTCACCTTCCAGACGAATCGACCATGGTCAGTAAGTCATAATATACTGGTAATAATGAAAGAAAAAAAGATAATGATTAAAATTCATATTTCGCGGATGCTTTGAAATTTAAAAAAAAATTTGTAAGCAGGCCTTATTTAAAGAGAACATGGGAAAAATAAAATACGAATAAAAATATTAATTTTTAAAAAATTTTAGCTTGAAATTATTTTAAATTTTGTAAGGTTAATAAGAATATGTTTATCACATAGTAGATACTTATTTTTGATTTGGTTTGGTGATCAATTTACAATGAATATAATGCATATATATATATATATATATATATATATATATATATATATATATATATATATGTGTGTGTGTGTGTGTGTGTGTATGTATATATATATATTCTTAATCCGTATCATCCTATGCAAGGCAGCAAAGCCACTGAAACACAAGGGTTTACTGGGTGTGGAAGAATTAGGAACAGAAACAATAATAATGGAGAGTAAGAGAAAAGCGTAATCAGGAGGACAGTAGATAATGATTGATATTGTATTTAAATTTTTTCAAGATTAAAATTGGCTGGAAAGGAAACAATTCCACATGCGAGAAGTGCGAGAGAAGAAACTGTTAGCATAGAATTTACGGCTATATTTAGCTAGATCTGCACTCATTTGCTCGATAATATTCCCTCGAAAAGTAATCACTGTATAGTAATACGATGGTGATCCGAATAGAGTAATAGTATAGCGAATAGCATAGAGAATAGCGAACCCTATAGTAATAGAGGATAGACTAGAAATGAGGATCCGTATAAGTGATAGACTAGAAATGAGGATCCGTATAAGTGATAGACTAGAAATGATGATCGTTTAGACGTCACGCTACTTTTTACTTATGCGTTTCTCCCATGATCAGGCGATCCATTATTTTACTCTTGATATTTTGGCAATCTGCTTTTTTCAATATGAATTTCTAGCCAGTCTTATTCTATTTTAAGAACGTCTAAGAATTTCCATATGGATGGCGGGATGATATTTCCTGAAGAAAAGCTGTATGCTATCCATCAAGGGCGTTATTAGTACTAGCTAAATCAACATTGACTCTCTCAAAGCAAGACCACATACATATTTCAAACATAGGTATTTTGAATAATTATTATTTAGTATAACTGTCCTTTCGATTAATTTTCATTCAAAGAATTTACAATTCGAATAAATGTTTTTCGAATAATTGTTTTCAAATCTTTATTTTGGGAATTTCTGCATAGTGTACATTAGTAGCAACCCTTTATAATACATTAACTTTGGTTGCAAGGTCTAAAGGAAATACAACTCACGTCGTTAGAAGAAATTCTAATTCCTCTAATTTAGTCAAGTTTTTCATGAAAATAACAGTAATAACAATTTAGAGGTGGAATCCGAAGTCAATATATGAATACAATTTAAGGATTTCATTCAGTTTTTTTATGATTTATTTTGTTCATGTTTCGGCTGATAAATCTACTGCTTTCTTCACATTAGCTTTCTGTGTGGAACGAAAGAATCCAGATTTCTACAAAAATATTGACTGATATATTGAGCAGTACGGGTTAATCCCAACAAGGCAAGTAACAGAGATACGACAATTCTCCACAACCCGTATAAAACATGTCACTCTGAATTATAAGTTACTATAATCACTAATTCCCGTCGTACCAAACAAAGAATGTTACACGTAGTTGAAATCAATATTGGTTTACTTTACGCATTTCCCAGCAAGTTGATCGAAGCCGCTTCATTGTATTTTCTCATTTCTCGTGATGTTCCATTTTTGTCGTTTGGACCTCATCCCAAAGAGGGCCATGCGATCCTTTCCATCTACATATATACCGTATCATGCTTCAGTAATTCTTTGAATATGATTAAAACAGATAGGGGCCAATAGCCAGGGGAACTCTTGGAATGATAATGACTTATCTAAAAATTACTGACGGTAGCCTTAAAATGGACGCGCTGAAACGTTGTGTACATCGAAGTGAATATCTCTTGGAATTAAAACAATTTCTTCTCAAAAATATAAAAGTTTTTGTACACCTAAAGAATTCTCAGAAATGGATTTGTCAAAATTCATCAGTACCAATATAAGCAAATCAAAGAAAGGGTAACAATAAAAAACTAATTCGTGGTAATAATAAATTCATATTTTACAGTAAATTTTTATGTGCTTTTTTCAGTGAAATTTATATTTAACATCAGGAATTTCTGGGGCACGTAACGAGGAAGGAGGTTTTGGAGAATCTGATACTCACAGGAAAGATTTTGAACCTCCGTTGCCTTGTGGCCCTTACCCAATTATAAGAAAGGTTTTGGAAGTAAACCCTAAGGACAAATCCGGAGCTGGAGTCTCTAAGACCGTCCACGGAAATCAAATTCTAAGATGGTGTCTGTCCCGAGATAATTCACTTTATGATTTGAAAGGAATCTTTAGCCTTGGGTGGTAGTTTTTCTAGAAATGGTGTCTCGATAAAAAGCACACGGATGAAGGGTTGGCGTCCCTCATTTTGTATCTGATACCGAAAGAACTATAGTTCCGACCAACCATAGACAGATCGAAGGATGATAACGACGAAAGAGGGACAGAAGAAAGCAGTGCGTACCATCCTTGATGGGTTTGAGCAAATGGATAGCAGAAAAGAGTTTGGGAGAAATATCAAAAAGACAAAACTTATGAAGAGCTACAATGGACAGGAAAATGTGGAGGGCCATGATCGCCTACGTTCTGAAGGGACACGGCACACAAAATAAGAAAGAAGTAGTCTTTCTTCTGCAAGTAACAGCAAACCCCACTCGCCCTACCAAAAAACTAATTCTCATTTTTATGTCCAGTAAGAATAAATTCAAATTTCCAAGTACAAAAAGTAGGCCGTAGTGGGCATGACGACATACTGCATCCAACAGCAAGACCTTTGATCAGGAGAATTTGAGGAGCATGAAACCACCTCTTAATTGCTGGTGTTCCCAGGTCCACCCTAACCCGGGGTGGTAGAACCTGTCAGGGTCCCAGCTATGGGCAAATAGGTACCCCCAACACAAAAGGGGTCAAAACACTACGAAAGTATAAAAATAGGTTTTAAATCCAGCCTGTACATTTTCGAAAAAGAAAAATATTACCAGTAATATATTTTTGAAAAAAAATATTACCAAAAAGAAATTATTGGAAAAAGAAATATTGCCAGCAATACATTTTTGAAAAAGAAAATTACCAGCAATAAAACTCTTGACGGCATTAAAAAACTCTTGACGGCATTAAAAAACCCATTGAGGTTGATATGCCGTAAAAACAAAACAAAACAAACAAATATATACTGAGATAGATAGATAGATAGATAGATAGATAGATAGATAGATAAAAAAAATTACTAGCAATAAAAATCTTGTCGGCATTAAATAATCCATTGAGGTTGATATGCAGTAAAACAAAACAAACCAAAGAAATATATACTGAGATAGATAGATAGATAGATAGATAGATAGATAGCTGAATAAATAAATAAATAAATAAATAAAAAACTAGCAATAAAAATCTTGTCGGCATTAAATAACACACTGTGGTTGATATGCCGTAAAACAAAACAAACCAAAAAACAGGGATTTAATGCAAAAGAAATTGCATTTCGAATTTTAAGCAAGTGGAAATTTTACTTTAAAATAGTTGCCTCAGAATGTCCGAGTCTCTCTTCCTATTTGAAATATACATCATTTTTGGACTAATCTTAGCCTTCTCATGCTTATAAGTTTCACGATAATGAATAATAGAAAACAGTGTACCATAATTTGCATTAGCGATGAGCTGACTATTGACAAACCGTCTTGGAGGCGCCATATTCCCATTAAGATCTTTTATCGCGATCAACTTTGGAATTATTTTGAAAACATAGACACATTTGTAATTATTCTCAAATAAAAGTGTAATGTGTAATATCTAATCTTGTATATGGCATGAATTGCTGGAAAAAAATACTTTCTCACAGATGAAGAAATGGCTTCAAGTGACAGGAATGTGCTTCTACAGAATAATGTTGACGAATATGGAGTAACGAGGAAGTCTTAGGGAAAAGTCGAACTAAGGAAACTGACTATTTACAGGCAGAAAGAGACAGCTGGAATTTACGGAACATATAAAGAGGAAAGAAGGCCTAGAGAATTTAAAACTCACAAGACATTATGAAGGTGAGAGAAGCAGTGAGAAACAGGGAGTACCCAACATAACGATTTTGTGTGAATAGATGGCAGAACAGAGAAAAAGAGGGGAGGTAAAAGTTCAAAACGACAGGAAGCTGTAAAGAGCCATGATCGTCAATGTCATAGTGAGATATGGCTCATAAAATGAGAAGAGTGCCGTTGGAAATATCAACTGTCTCTTAAAATTTTCCAGTGTCTCTTGAACTTCGTCATCGTCACATGTTCGGTCTATGGTAGTCTCAGTATCCTTCTGTAGAACCACATTTCTGTTGCTTCAAATCTCTTAATAAAGAGAAGATACATTTGTTTATTTTTTAAAATTATATTTTTCTTGTATACGAACAAGAATTTTCTTTCCTGGATTTAATGAATATAGAAATTGTCCAAATCCTTCGACAGCATTAAGTCCAAAAAGAAAAAAATACTTTATATCTCGAATATACAGGGTGGTCCTAAAGTGTAATCAAAATATAATTTCAGCCATTTTGAATAGAAAATTATATTATATAGGTGTGACAAGACTTTCATATATATCTCCCGAATATTCATTGCAAGTTTTAAGAGCGTGGTCTTTTGTTTTCAAAAATTACAAATCATATAATCACCGAAAAATCTTGTCAAGCCTTCTAAACTGTCTCCATTCTAGAAAATTGTTTTACGTAGGGTGACAAGATTTTCGTCCCTAAACACCACAAAAAAGCAATCTTTTTTTATTTGAAATACATACATAAAATTTATATTAAATAAATTAGTCTGTTAGTTTTAGACAATTCACGGATATTTTTCCATTTACAATCAAATAATGCAAGAAATGCCAACAATAAAAATCACTTCTAATTCTCAATATATATCATCAGTGGTAAGGCAACATATATATTTGTTTTTGACTTTTGCGTTTAAACGTTTTGGCGTTCATCACATTCTCCCAAGAGGTCGAACGCGCATTTGAATTGATATATAATGTTGGTTTTTCACGTAAATCATCAGTTGCTGGGGGTTAGTAGTTTATTCTATCCTGTCAATGAAAGAATTAAATGTCTTGGTTGACATTGTATTTTGTATAACATATGATTAATTTTGTTTTTTTATTCCCAAGGATTTGAATTGATATATATGTTGGTTTACGTAAATCATCAGTAATATTATATATATATATTTTTATATATATATATTTTTTTATATATATATATATATATATATATATATATATATATATATATATATAAACCTACAAACCTAAATCCAGGTTTCACCTAAGCGGATCGTCAGGAAACCTGGGTAAGTTTGTTTTTTAGCTCACTAGGGTTTATCTAGGTCTGCTCTGCGGTTGTATTGAGCTCTTTTGTTAGTTGTTTACTCGTGTCGGGGTTTTTTCTTTGGGCTTTAAACCTGCATCTGTGCGATTTTTTTCGACAGACTTTCATGTTTCTAGCTCTTTCTTTTTTTAAAACTATTTTTCCTTCAAGATTGATTTGGTTATTGGCAAATCAAAAATTCGAAGGTTTTTCGAAACGAGTATAGTGACCTATATATATATATATATATATATATATATATATATATAGTTTATGCAAAACTAGGTAATCCGCATGGGTAGATCCAAGGAGAATGATATCAGGAGAGCTCAATGTAAATTCAGAGCAGATATGTTTGAATAAAAACAGACCGCTTTAAGGTTCCATGTAATAAGTTATTTCACCACAAAAATTTTTCATTTCAACCTTTGGAAGTAAAGTCTGATGATCCAGAGCCCTGATAAAGGGGTTGTGGTGAAATAACTTATTACATGGAACCTTAAAGTGGTCTTGTTTTTCAAACACACACACACACACACACACACACACACACACACACACACACACACACACACACACACACACACACACATATATATATATATATATACAAGAACAACATCTATTCTATACCTGAAGATGTCTGTAGGAACAGACGAAAGCTTGTAGTAAAAATAAGAACTAATACGGCAGAAATTTATAGAAACAAGGATCTTTTCATTCATAACGGATTAGGAGGTTTTGTATATTATTTGAATTGTTTGCGACGATGGATTTCTCGCCAATTAAATCATTAACCTTTGCATTTGTTTTTGTGTGAATAATTCATGAATTTGTAAATTGATTGCACGTTTATCGTAATTTAAATAACTGATCCAAGTGCGACTTTTGGATAATAAGTGCGACATTACTGTAATTATTAAACAATATAGTTCATGCCACTTTGACAGAAAATTTACCAGTAAAAATTCGTTCATCACCATATTTGTATATGAACGCACAACTTTTTAAAAATTTAAAATCAAACTCAGCGTTGCTACTGCGCGCTTCAAAAACAATAACTCATTTCCAATAGCATTTTCGGATACAACAATACATATATTTTCGTTGTCCTCTTATTACTAAGAAAAAACAAGAACAACATCTATTCTATACCTGAAGATGTCTGTAGGAACAGACGAAAGCTTGTAGAAAAATAAGAACTAATACGGCAGAAATTTATAGAAACAAGGATCTTTTCATTCATAACGGATTCGGAGGTTTTGTATATTATTTGAATTGTTTGCGACGATGGATTTCTCGCCAATTAAATCATTAACCTTGCATTTGTTTTTGTGTGAATAATTCATGAATATATATATATATAATATATATATATATATATATATATATATATATATATATATATATATATATATAATGAATAGCGGCTTGGATTTTGGAATCGGAGAGCTGAGATCGAATTCCAGTCGAATACATAACATTCACTTACGTGGTAATACCCTTGGAAAAGGTGTGAATACTCTTCTTCTCCCTCCAGCTATGGTTTAAATAGCAAGACAGACTGGGTTCTAGAGCTTTGGGTGGCAACTGGTCTAGGAGAAGGACAACTCTGAATTTAAAACCTGCGGAGGGTCGTTTAGGGACCTTGTGGCATGTAATGTACCAAGTCTCTGTATTCGGCCCTTCAAAAAGAGTGGATGGTCCTGCACGAAACTTTCACCACTATAGCCAAATCTCATGTGCTGTTGTCGGGCTGTCAGTTTCCTCGGAACTGATCGAATTCGACAGGAGAGTCGAGCGAGAGCAACTATATATATATATATATATATATATATATATATATATATATATATATATGTGTGTGTGTGTGTGTGTGTGTGTGTGTGTGTGTGTGGCTGGGTGTGTTGCGCATGCACCATTTTCTGCTGACCAGATAAGAATTTTATATGTAAAACATTGATAGGCAATACATTCTCTGAATTGGTTTACTAATGCTATTTTAAAGTCATATTTATTTTTAGTTCAAGTTAAAGTATGAAACTATGTCGTCTGTTCTAGGATCATTAGAAGTTAATTAAATATTTCTGTTGGCCCCGAAGGATAAATAAACTTTAAAACTAGCGGAAGAAAAGACTTGATACCTACGAGATGTGATTTCATCGGCTAATTCTGAAAATGCTATGGAAGGAACATGTGAGCAACAACGAAGTCTAAATAAAATATGAACGCAAAAGACACTGATACCTATTCGTTTTCTTCTCTGTTTTTGTCGTCTGTCAACCCTCCCCCGTGTGTTATCACAGGAGTGTTATTTGCACATATATTATGAGCCACGATTCTCTATTCCACTCGGGTTAAATAACCCTCTGAGCCCTGACCACAGCTTTACCGGTGGCAGAGATAAATGACGTAATGCCCAGCCATCTGTTGAACAGTTGCAGAGACAAATGTCTTAATGCCCAGCTATCGGTTGAATAGTCGGTTAACACTTGTAACTATTTTTTATATCTACAGTGAAACATTACATACGAATTATTTGTGAATTCTGACTCAGGAACACAGAAGGATTAAAATTGTTCAGGAACACAGTGACCAATCGGTTAAGTATCAACAATTGTCCAGTATGCATGATTTTTACATGACGCCATTACAGTTGCATATCCCAAAATGAGATCTGTTAGTTTCTGCAACTGACCACACCCAACATTCTACAGTCTTTACTTTAACCCTGACACAGGTGGATTTTAGGTGCTATGCTTTGCCACAGCACAATCTGTGATTTGGTCCAAGCGCCACACTGAGTCTGTCCTGCAATTTAACATAGCTGATAGGAGAAGAAAGGGTATTTACACGTAACTCAGTGTAACGAACTCAACTGGAATTCGAACACAGCTCTCTGATTTTGCATTCAAAGACGCTATCCATTACACTATCCGCACATCTCCCCATAAAGACACAGTTGGGATTATTTGGGAACATAATGTTTGAAGAATTAAACATTTGCATGACATATCAAAAGTAAGAGAAGCAAGATGAACAAAAATTAACCTGTTTAATAAGTTTATTTAAATAATCGGCTGAATAAGGAAAAAAGAGTCGATGGGTAAAAGTTCTAAAGACTCTTGGAGTAACAAAAAATAAGAGGTCAAAAGACACGATCGCCTAAGTCTTGATGCGTCATGGCATAAACATATACAGTCGAAACCCTGACACCGGACGAAGAACGAATTCCGGATATACGGAATTGGTTAAAAAGTCCGGATATGAGGAGTTATATTTAGATTAAAATAAAAGAACTGAAATCATTTTAAACGTTTATTTTGAATGTTTTATAGTAAACAAAATAATCTAATGGTGAGTGAAATATAACAGAATTGATTTTAAGGAAAAAGAAATAAATTATGTAATGCTAATGAAAATTCATTAAATTAAATATGCCACATATGCAAAACAAATAATGTAACGAGGATTTTTTAATCGTTGTTGCATGATGATTCTTTCTAATGTCATTCACAAATTTTTCCGCATTTCGTTCTTGAAATTTTTTAAACGAAAGACACTTTTTAACTTTGCATGCGTTATTGCAACGACATAGCTGAATGCTGACTTTCTTTCCATAAAACTGACAACCTTTTTAATAGATTTTTCAATTTCAGTGAAGGTTACATCACAATCATGCATCTCGTCGCTATCTTGTTGCAGATGTGTCTAGTTGTCATCCTTTCCTCTTATTTCCATCATCTTTTGCACCAATACAAGCCATAAAGGGTGAAATATGCATAAGCAATTATCCAAAGTAAAATTTTCTGAAAAACGTAAATTTCAAATCAGTTTCATATCACCCAAATAGTTCAAATATACACATCAAAATCATGTCCGGATATGCGGTTTACCGGATATGAAGCACCCCGGATATGAGGGATTCCGGATATGAGGGATTCCGGATATGAGGGATTCTGGATATTAGGGATTCCGGATATGAGATATTCTACTGTATATTAAAGGTTAGTGTGTTCATTACAAATATTGTTATATATTACATGCTGAAAAGGTAGCGGGTCAGTTCTTATCTTTGCTAAATAATGCATTCAGATCTATAACCCTTAAGCTGAAGCCGACTATAAGCTCACGTTTTCGTTTAGGTGAAAACACATTCATATTTCAATGACAGCTTTTGTGCCTATATTTAACTCGAGAATTACGATTAATTCCCGTTTTTTTTCAGTAAATCTTGTTCTACGTCTCGCGAGATTACATCTACTTATTTAAAGAACAGTTTCCTTTAAGCTATAAATTATGCACAAAAGAAAGCAAAAAAAAAAAAAAACTACTTTCGGCTAGTGTCGATGTGACCACTTTACAAATTAAGAACCGTACGTCTAGATTCGCTGATACTGTCAGATAATTATACCCCACTCTTTTCCTTTGGTGCCAGAATTCGAAAAACTACATTTAAGCGTACTTGTAAAATGGTAAAATGATTACGATTCCTTATATTGGCCACACGTATTTGGCGAAATGCCTAGACAAAACTCCAAAGGACAAAGTTTGTATGGACGTCCGCTTCCAACAACCGTTTGCCTGTCTGTGTCAGCCGGACATAAAATGATCAATATTTTATTGGAAAATGTTCGAAGATATCAGTAGTTGATCTCTAAATGTAAATGTTAATTTTATAGAATCAAATACTTTCAGATAAATCTGGAAGTTTTCTAAAGAGCGAAACATTGCTCGCTGCTCTCAGATTCGTCTAGCAGACTATTATTTCTTAAATTAAGCTTAATTCTCAATATGATTTTAATTGATGACCATGTGTCAGACTCTGTTAATTTATGTGACAGCAGTTAGTGAACTATTTTTGCAGAATGTACTCAGAGATTTATTTGTGTGCCCCATAATTTGAGTTCTTTTACCAAAATAACTTAGATTTAACAAATAGGTCACAGGGTAGCTTTTCAAAGAGATTTTTGCCTGTGTAGTGAGTTCGATCCTTAGGCTCGGTATATCACACTTTTTGATAGACCCTACTTAATAAATGCTGTTAGAAATTTACGTGGGTAAGTCCTTATGTCGTCCCTATTCCGGATTGATCTAAATTTAGAAAATATCTACACCGAAGAGCAATATATGCAGTGTTTACGGTTAATGGTAAATCGTGCTCGAACCTTTGTCTTTATATTTACAGAATGAACTAGAAGTATATATTGCATGGATTTTTCTCTTTGTCGTATCCCTGAAGTAACTATGCCATCTGAGAACCCCTTTTTCCAGTTGACCTTCTCTGGGGTATTTCAGTGTTTTAAATTTGATTTAAATTTCACATTTGAATCGTTCATCATCCTGATTACAAAGAATCTTAATATTTATCGGACATCGTGTTTTTGTTCTTATGTTTTCTTTTCTCTTTTACACTGCTGCTACTGTTCACTTACACATGATTTTGGGATTATATCCCACCCCCCTCCAACCTGTTTCCACTCCTTCTTCTTCTTAAACTAGAATGTCAGTTAACATAGCATGGTCTAAAAGTTTTTTGGGCCGCCAATCATCTTTCCAAATAAGATATGTTTGTTGATTCTCTGATATACCTTAAATGAAAGTCCACATCAAGACTGGTTTTTTTTCTAGTAAAGTCTTTTCAAAGGTAGTTGAATTGTTGAATTTCTAATGGACATCTCGACTTTAACTTTGTTTAAACTTAGTACAGTGTAACCCGGATATAAGAGAGTTGTCGGGACCGGAGAATAAGTCTCTTATATCCAGGTTTCTCTTATATCCGGGTTTGGTCTATTTTATATACATTAATACAGGCTCTAATTTGGGACCAGAGAAAATCTCTCTTATATCCGGGTTTCTCTTATATCCGGGTCTCTTATATCCGAGATACACTGTACCTCGTTTTTTTCGAATAAGCGTAGATAGGTTTTCGTATCGCTCGGTTCATAAGCCCCCCCTCCTTGAACAGGTGTAGAGGCTCATTCCTTGTTTCCTGTTTAGGAAGGGGTTCTTGTTATATATATATATATATATATATATATATATATATATATATATATATATATATATATATACCTCTATTTTTGTTTCCAGCTTACATTTATGTTGGACAATGTTTACAATAAACATCTAAATAGAAGCGCTGACAACTTAAAGGCAGCAGTAGACTAGATAGTTTTTTCATCCATTTAGCCTGTTAGAAATAAACTCAGATGACGTATGTGTGACGATATAAGTAAATCTATAGTGTAGCTGCAGCAGCTATGGTATATGATTAGGTTTTAACACTATTTGAAGACAATAGGCTTGTTGAAACAAAAAATATAGGATTCCTGGGCAACACAAGAAAATTCCCTTTTCTATTCTGGACAGATATCAACAGTTGGTGCAAACTACACGCACAAATCGGTGAGGTAAGAACACGTGATCGCCGTCGACTGACAAGGGTAGTAAAAGCCACAACGAAAGGGGACACACCATCAAATCCATTCGAGTTCAATCTTGGTGTCGCTCCAGTCGCCAGTTAATACATTCTACAGACTATCTTGTGAGTTTTATAATCACTGACCAACTTACGTTATTATTGTTACAGCATCGATTACTAAGCCTCAGTCAATATATTCATGCTTTTCCGCTTCTTTCGACAGACGGTGGAGTTCGTGAGCGGAGGAAACCATAAAAGATAATGGATCAGGCCTATCATCAGACTGATGCGCAAGATAGTCGCGGCTCTAATTGTGTAGAATTTGTTGTGCTGGTGTTCTAAAAGGTGTAAATATACAGACCTTGTTGCAGATTATTTGCACACCTGCATCCGAGCCACGTTACGCTGTGGAGAGGTTTTGTACCAAGTTAACCCAACTTCCTCATTATCTGCGGATGGAACTAAATTGTGCCCAGGAACATTTTTGGTTTACTCATAGCTAGTTCATTGAGCCCGCATTCGCCATACTGAAAATCAATGGCGCATTCTAACCGTTGCTGTTTTCATTAAATCTTTTGTTTCCTGACAAAACAAAATAAACTCAGCTATGTACATTCCTAGAATGTACCTAGATAGATATAATTCTTAAGGGTTCCAGCTGAAAGGAGCTATAAATTAGGAGGTAAGAAAATTTACTTTGTTAGTCCCTTCAATCTATCTATTCATGTCTTTCATGCTAACGATATATATATCTATCTAGTGAGCTGGCTATCTATGAGCCATATAATTTATTATGGCTGAGAGACTATATGAAATTAAGATGAAAAGAAAGAAGGACAAAGGAAAATGAAAGAAGAGAAAAGAAAAGAAGAATGAAGCTTAGAAGAATTCTTGTTTTCCCTTTTCTCGCGAATGTGACCAATTTTCGAAAAGAGATGCGTGGTATTTTTTTCTGGTTTTCTGGGCAGAACAAATGGCTTTCTGAAAAAAATGTCTGATAAATGTATTCAGACACTTGCAAGAGGAGAGAAGTGATGGAAGAAGAATGACGCAGTCTATTGGATTTTATTGTGGAATGACACTCTGCCGTGGAATAATCGAGTTGAGAATGATTGGCAGGAATGGATAAAATTAGAAGTAAGGAATTGGAGTCGGAAGAATGGAAAAGTTGGTATGAATTAAAGAACAATTTGAGGCATGAAAATGATTGCGGATTGAAAGGAAAGCCAAAAGAAAAAAAGGGAAACCCACGTAAAAGAAGAAAAAAGAGATTTAGAAGAAAGTATAAGGAAGAAATAATGACAAATAAAGAGAAAAGGAAAGACAAGATGAAAGAAGAAATAAAGAAATAGAAGGAGAAAAAGAAAGAAAAGCCCCCCCCAAATAACATAGGTAAAAATTTAAGAACAAAGAATGAAACAAAAATCAACTAAGAAAGAAGAAAACCCTATGTATAAAACTCCAGATGAAAATACTGAAATGAAAAAAAAAACAAAATGCGAAAGACAAAGAAGAAATGAACACACTGAAAAAAACTGGGAAAGGTAGAAATAAGCTTGTGGTTAAAAGAAAGCATGGAAGAAAGAAGGAAGGAATTAAAAGAAGAAGAAATTTAAAAAGAACTAAGAAAGAAGAAATAAAAACACTATGTATAAAAGACGAAATAAAATCAATAGTAAAAACAGAAGATATGAAAGTGAAAGTGAAAGTGAAAGTGAAAGAAAACATGGAAAGTAAATGGGAAATATAGAAATAATCTGGGGTTGAAAGAAAGAAAGAAAGAAAGAAAGAAAGAAAGAAAATGAAGAAAAGATAAGGAAAAATGATTGAAAAAAGATTGGAAGAAATTATATCTAAGAATGTCAATTGAAAATTGATTAAATATTAAAAAATTGAAATGATAAAACTAAGAGAAAAATTACGACCAAGTTTCTCGTTCTTAATGATTTGTTAGTTTTATCATTTGAATCATTTGAATTATTTTAATTTTAATCAGTTTTCATTTCTGTAGCCTGATTTCTATCAAGCTAATCTTACAGGCTATTGCTAAAGAAGAGTCTTCTCATCACTAGCTGACGCATTATACTCTTCCTGTGCCAAACGTTTTCCGTAGAACTTTTGTTAGTAAAGTCGTTTGTGAAGCTAATTCGCTCGTCTATCAGGTTTTTCATGAGTACAATTTTCATGAAAGGAAGAAAATTCATCCCAGATGAAAATGAAACTTCAAGAGCTGTGATGTGATTCTACCAAATAAATTTTGACTACCTTGGATAATACATGCGATAGAATTTTAAAGACATTAAGAACAACATGGAAATTGATGCTAAGAATCAGAAAGAAAGAAAGATCTGAAATCTCCGGGTCACATAATGAAGAAAGAAGGCTTGGAATAATTAATACTCACAGGGGATATTCAAACCAAAGCAAGTAGGTGGAAACAACGAGTTACCTGTTTAAAGAGATTAAGCGGATGGATTATTGAATTCCCTACAATGCTGATGGGCCGAATGCTTATTGGTGATATAACTCCCTCTAGACCACAAATATAACTCGTATCTTCACCCCATCACTAAAAATGCTGGAAGAATAAACAGTTGCTTGTATAGCCCCCCCCCTCCAATAGCTAAGCTCTGCTGTCATTGCCTATCTTTACAGGAGTCATTTCAGACGTAGAAGATAATATTGCTGCCATATCTGGGCTGGTACTGTCCCATCCTCACTATCCAATTTTGATAGTATCCAAAGGCGATCACGCGGCCTTGTGGGTGATGAGTTATTTCAAGCCCCGCAAACCTTAAACGACAGACAAAACGTTGCAATTTCTATTCTATCGCAATTGCTATCGGAAGTGTTCAGACGAGCTACATTCCTTAGTTCAGATCTTCACATCTAGGAACGGCCAATGCCATTCTCACGCTGGTGGATTATCCTCATTCCCTTAGCGTTCCTTTGTTAAAGACTAAATTCAACTCAGATTCTTTTCCTTTGTCGAACAGACTTCCGAAGGGATGTTTTCCTGACAACTAAAACCTGTTGAAGTCGAGGGTATATCGATATCTATTTTACATATCCTCAAAATATTCGCGTCTTATTTCCGCCATCTTTCTCCCTTACATCAATTTTACTCAGTAATCATTTACCTTGAGTGGCTCTTGGGTATTGTATTTGTGAATTAAATTACCGAAAAAATACGTAGGAAGAAGTCTGGTAAAATGGTAAGCCGAAAGATTTAAATAAAGCAACAAGAATAAAGGAAATTATTTGGTTTAATTTGTTTTGTTTTACGGCATATAAACATCAATGGGTCATTTAATGCCGACAACTTTTTTTTCGTAGTAATATTTTTATTTTGTCAAAAATCCATTTCTGTTAATATTTTTTTTTCTCAAAAACGTAATATTATTTTTCAAAAACGTATATCTAGTAATATTATTTTTTTTTCAAAAACGTATAGCTGGTAATATTATTTTTTCAAAAACGTACAGCTGGCAACATTATTTTTTCAAGAACTTATTATCAGAGGCCTTGCTGTTGGATGTAGTTTATCGTCATACCCAGGACGCGGATGTGGTTTATCGTCATACCCAGGACGCGGATGTAGTTTATCGTCCTTTCTAGGACGCGGATGTGGTTTATCGTCATACCCAGGACGTGGATGTAGTTTATCGTTATACCTAGGACGCAAAGGAAATTGTGGAGAACCATGAATGCCATGAATGCCTGGAAGGGACAAGGCATATAGAAATAAAACAATGTATGGAGAAGGGTAAACTGCTTTGGAAGAAAAGAAATAATCGATCGATATTGATAAATGAAGTAAAATTAAGATGCCATTTGTTGGGAGGGGGGCCACAGCTACGCGCCTTTCTTGATGCCGAATTTGGCAAGTT